TCTTATGATCACGGTCTGTGCCCTGAATATCCCGCCGCGTAATTACTGGCAGCGCGAGCCAGTTACTTATAGTAACTTATAGTAACTGGCTCGCGCTGCCAGTAATTACGCCGCGGGATATTCAGGGCACAGACCGTGATCATAAGACATACCGCTAATAGAAAATAGAATTTAGAAAATAGACATTGCATGTGAATGAAGCCTTTGTCCTTTCTTTAACGGGCTTTCATCTTGTAGAGGCCATATCACAAAAACAAAAGGCTTGATGAAAAACAGACATCGCAAAAGAAAAAACCTCTTCTCTGCCAAAATGTTATCCTCTTGAATGACACTACAGATGTAATTAACGCTCTGCCTGGCGTTGGGGGAGCACGAGGCAGTCTGTCCGTCACAAACTGTATAAGCACCTTACATCTCAGTTATGGCTTAACCGTGTTTATTTACTTACGTCATTGCCAAGTCACTTTATCAAACAACTCACAGATACAGTTTATTTGAACTGGAACACTGCCCTTTAAGAAAGGTTCAAGTTAAATCCAAACAGTAATTACTATATCTATACACACAACTGACCGCAGATAACATGAAAGCGTGTACACAAATTCTCAAGTCGTCTGGCATAGGGACCGTTCACAATATATTTTGTCGATCTAGCTAATGCGCACCAACTCCGCGGGGACTCTCGCTGAATGCAATCAGGTTAACAGATTCTCACACCTCCTCTTGTTTCCAAGTTCTACTCAACATAAGGGGGGGGGGGCGTTCGTGTTAGTCAGCTAGTAGTTAATCTGACTGCGTGAAGTTAGTAAAACCTGGGTCCCAACTACGCTTTGGACGCACGGTTTTTAGCTTCCTTGCGTCCGGCTAGGACGTAGCTAGATCGCAGGGTAGGAATCAAGTCATTGGTGTTGATCATGTGGAAAAGTTTCTACGTGCTGTTTGCGTCCTCCAAAAGTCGCACGATGGACGTGCTCCTCACGCACGGACTCCCACATTTTCCCCATTTTTTGGTCGTAGACCACACGTAGCAGCCCATGCGTTCGGTTGGGACCTATAGACTACTAGGCTTAAGTAGACAAACTCAGATTCAAGGATAGGACTTAAGATCACAATGAATCCTAATTATACAATATCTTATTCAGTTTAAATTCTATATATCTCTCATTAATTAACATTGACTTGATAGTGGGCTGTAACATGGGGCGATATTTCACTGTTTTATACTCAGGGTGAAAAAGACAGGGGTTTGTATACCTTAAACTGAGACACCCCCCCCCCCCAGTAGGCCTTAAGACACCGGTCTCGTAGGTCCTGACTGAGTCATCCTTATCGTCTGGTTCACCACCAAAGTCGAGCCAGATAACCTTGTTAGCCAAACATAATATTAAATGGTCTTATTTGGTTACAGTTAAAACGCTATGTACTTCGTACTCAAATGCATATGTACGTGACTTATTCTATAGACCAGAGACTAAAATCTGAACATGTGTAAATGAAAACGCCCCCCGCACCGCCCTTTTTCAAATCAAAATATAGTATCCATCCCCTATCCCTTATCAATGGGAGAGAAAATGTCGACCAGTGCCTTGCAGAATTTACCGTCTACCAAGGCCGCCGCAATTTTAATAATTATAATATTAAAATATGTGGACATTTTCTCTGAGGTTACAGTACGGAGGATAACCATCAATTAAACCTGAGAAATATCTGAGAATATCCAGTGAAAAATCAATATTCGGCCCTGATGAAGGGCATGTAAACTTGGTGAAAAAATTAGATTGCATCCGGCTTCGACCCATCGAACTATTTAACGTTTGTTTCATGGGTCCTAGATTATACCCTTTCTTCATTTAGAAATAAATTCTTCACAGACGGTGGGTTGTCCATCCCAAACACCCCCTCATAACGATACCCTGGAGCTAAAGTGCATATATCCCATTTATGAAAAGTTTGGATTCTATTTCAAATCAAATATTTATCGCGCTTTTCATTTCATTTTATCTTTAAACATACTGTATACAATATGTTCAGTTACTTTGTTAATAATTTTTCTGTAAATACGGGCACTTCAAATGAATGAAAAAATATTATGAATTCCTGTTGATTCTACTTAATTGGAATCAATTTAAAACTTGGAAAATCTGTTTTTTGCATAAGTGAAATGTACTACTATAACCAGCATCTCATTTTTAATAAACTGAAAGTGGATGATGCCAATCCTAAGAACATATTTCAATATCATAAAAGGTACACCATTAGAACAGAGAAATCACTGTAACTTTTACAAGTTTTATTTATATCTAACTTTCATTTTTTCTGCATGATCGTTAAGATGTAGAAAAATGAAGCATTAAATAAAGGCAAAGTTTGCCCCTTGCCTAAATGGCTTATTTTATGAACAATCTGTCACTTTGTGAACTATAAAAAGAACTTTCTTCCTCACATCAGAGATTGATAACTACAAAAATAAGTTTCTAAAATTGTCTTCTTCATCTTTTACATTACATATCATTATAACTGCTTTAACATTGCATAAAAAATTGAAGTTTATATTAAAAAAACAAACAAATAAATAATTGAAGATAAATTATTACAGCTCCAGCAAAAAATGAAACCTTTTTCAATGTGCTTTAAACAGTTGTAAGTCTAGACTGATCATGCTTTTGTACTTCATCTGTTAATAAGACATGATTTTCAAACTATAATTCACTTTGCAACAGAAAATAATGACATTTCATTTTTTGACAATCATTTTCATCTCTGCCAGACTCAGGCACAAACAAGTATGTTGGTGTTGCTGAACTAACTGTGGCAAACCTACTATTAGTACAATGGTCAGCACCAGGACTTTAATGCTGATCCAAACGACCTTCACCTGACCTTCCATTATCCTCGTACTCTCTCCAACTCCATAAAACGTCCACATCTCCAGAAACCTGATTCTCTACAATTTTCCCTCTGCCTTGTACCTCCGCTACATATCAGCATCCTCAATGTCAACTTAAACACACATATTCTCCTCACTGTCAAGTATTAGTATTATTATTATTCCCAGTGTTCTGTGATCCAGGCATCACTAAGAACTTGGGTGTAGAGGTACTAATGGTAGTAGCCCCAGCACTCTGAGTATTAGTCACCACTCTCACTACAGTCTGTGTGGGAGTGAAAGACCCTGAGACACTGGTCAATGTGGAGGAGCCTCCCTGGGTCAGGATCACATACTTCTGGGATGCCCCAGGGGTGGTTGGGGTCCCTGGGGTACGGTTGATAAGACTACTGGAGGTCTGGAAGGTCCTGGGGGTGGTTGGGGTGCGAGGAAGGCTGCTCCCCAGGGATGTCTGGACAAGAAGTTGTGGTTTCTGCTAAAAAGAAAAAAAAGAAAAAAAAACATCATTTAACATCATTTAACATTTATGACACAATGGATGTTACTGTGTGGCATTGGAAAATATGAGAAAGTTTTTTTTGGTGTAGAATGATACTGAGACAGAGCAGGTGACAAGTTCAAAACAACCTGCTTCAGTCTAAATATTTCTGCTCCACAAGGTATCATGTCACACTTCTCTCATAAATATGTGATTTTTTCAATGAATTTCTTCACTTGAAAGCAGTCCTAGAAAACTAAAATGTGTTGGAGTAAAAGCAGACCTAAATTTATTTGTATTGGAGCAAAAATAAACCTACTCTTTCTTCTGTTGGAGAGAAAACAGGTCTAAGTACCTACCTGTGTTAGTTTGACCATGGACCTTAACCTACCTGTGTTAGTGTGACCGTGGGCCTTAACCTACCTGTGTTAGTGTGACCGTGGACCTTAACCTACCTGTGTTAGTGTGACCGTGGGCCTTAACCTACCTGTGTTAGTGTGACTGTAGGCCTTGACTGACTGGAAGTGGTGGCTGGCTGTTGTCTTAACTTAGTGACACTCAGGTAAAGTAGGTTGCCTAGGAAACCATACTCTTCTTTATACTCTTCCACACTATCTGGTGGTTTTCTTATTGTCTTTAAAACTGGACTAACAAGTTTCTGAAAAAAAGAAAATAAATTGTTCAATTTTACGAGGTAAACTTCTCTCTCTCTCTCTCTCTCTCTCTCTCTCTCTCTCTCTTGACTAAACAGAAAACACGGAAATAGTGGAGTCAATTTTAAAAAGGTTCACAAAAATTAACAAGGGTAGTGAGTGTACACGTATTCTTAAATCTCTCTCTCTCTCTCTCTAAGAAGAAATCATACAAATAGTGGAGTCATTATATGTATATCAGTACCTGGACTTGTGAACAAAATATCAAGTTTTGATATGCCCCCCTACTCACCACCAGCTGTGTCTTGATATGGTCCCCAGAGATCCTGTCTACACTGTTCACTAGGGCACCCTCAGTGAGACTCTTGATTCTACCTCCCTCTATCTTCAACCTTGGAATTATGAATGCTTTGATAACCTGGAGTGTTAAAAATAAAACACCTGCAGTCTCTTTACTTATGTATGATAAAAATTACAAATGATAGTGACCTATTTCACACCAGCAATTCAACAAGAAATATATTTAAATGTTAGACAGGGTACCGATCCCTAAATGGATTTAACAGGATCGGTCCATTTCCACGGGGTCCCTTGCTAAATTGCTCTCAGCTCAAGCGGCTTAGATGTCTGGAAGGCCAACTATAGCTGCTTAACAATAATTTATTACCCCTATCAGCCTAAGCAGGCATGACAGACATCTAGGCCGCCCAAGTTAATTGCTATTAAACGAGAGATAGTTTGATCCATAGTAAGTATGATAGTCTCTGGGAATGGTCTCTTAGCAGTTGCTGAAGAATGGTTCTAAACACAGTACATATGATATCTATAGTCACATCAAAGCAAGTCGAATGAATAAACTTTTCAAAGCAAAATAATCTTATACCAAATAAGGCTGTTCTCACCTCAGGTCCCAGTTCAGCCAGTCCAGATATGGCCCCGTAATGTGAGGCGAGTGGGGCCTTCTCATTCTGCAGGGTAGCACTCAACATCTTTGTGATACGTGTCTGGATGCCATTAGTACTGGTACTAAAGTTTCTACAAACATTTAACAACTAATAAGTTACTATCACAATGACAATGTCATATAGTATGTGTATTTGTATCAGAAATGCTTGACTTAATATATGCAGAACATTAATTCAACTGTGATTTTATTCATGTTCATTTTTCAGTATACAAAACTGACGATCTTATAATAATTCATTATTTTGTAAAAAGATGAAAAATATAAAATAATAAAATCAAGTAACTTAACCACAGCTAAACAAGAGTAATAATAACCAAAAAAGATAAACTACAAATAGGATAAAAACTTTATATGTTTATCTATAAAAAATAATCATGCCAAGGATATTTCATCAATTTACTTTAACCCAGGTTTCTTCAATGTATTAACATTCCATAATCATCATTATTATTATTATTATTATTATTATTATTATTATTATTATAACTTACTTGCATGTCTGAGCTATCAATCTGGCAGCAAAGTCTCTGAGAGCCCAGTGGTTGTCTACATCTGGACGCATACACAGCTGTTTACTGACCACACAGGTCAGAACTGCTGGGATCAGCTCATGTAACTGGAAAGTATGGACATAAATTAGAGATAGAAGAGAGAGAGAGAGGTGGGCATGGACTTCACAGCATGTATTAAGTATGTATTAACAGCAAAGTGTGTAGGGCAAATATGGTACAATTCTTCCCAGCAGTAAAGTGGCTGCATACATAACTGTTTACTGATAACACAGATAAAACCATGTTAAAATGGGTTTGTTGAAATAGAAAGCAGTCTCATAAAGTAGAGGTACAGAGAGGTGGAGGGGATCCTCTGTATCTTGTACCACCTGCTTAGTATGCGGGACCAATAGTTATGCAGAGTCCATTATACATTGTAAATTTACAGTGATGAAACATGGCATGACAATCTTTTCTATTTATGCTCTCTGCTTAATTCAATCAACAGCAACTCCAAAATAATAGGTTATTTTACAGAGTAACCAGACTAAAAAAACCTTAAAACTTCAGATTTGAAACTTACATATTTTTCCAGGTACAAGTTGTGGTTGTCCATGAGAGATTTCACCATTCTCATCAGGTAGATAAGGAGGGCCAGGTTGTTCTGGACCACGTTTACTTTCACCTGTGGAATACAAAGATATACTGAGCATCATTAACACCCAAGGTCAGAAAATAAGTGCAATCTGCTTGATATTCATTTCAAATTTGACCCAGATGGCTCGTTTCCACTGATTACAAGTATTTAAATGTGGTAACAATAACTTACATTAACCTGTTTCAATTTAATCTGTAGCTTTAATTAATTATGACTGTCACAAAGTGATGTAAAGCTAAACTGTACTCACTCCCTCTGAGATAAAAGCACTAAATCTTGGTAACATTTGGTGTAGACCGGGGTCGGTGGCTAGGCTGGTTAAGGCTTCCTGGAAAAAGAGAGATCTTTTTACACAAAAGCTGTATTCAGCAACAGGTGCTACCATTTAAATAGTTGTTTTTTCTTACATTTTGACAAAAGATCATAAAACCTTGCAGAAAAATTAATGAAAAGCTCAAAATAAGATACTGCTGGTTACAAAGACAGAAATGTCTCTCTCAGTATAGTGGAGCAGCTCCATGGTTTGAGTATCACTTTTTTCTTCTTTTCTATTTATACTCTTTTTTTTTTTTTTTTGGACAAAATAACAAACAAATAAAAGTTCAAAATGTATTAATAGGACCAAATGATACCCTGAGCTTCAGATAAAATGCATGCTACTTAGAAATTTCCTGTAACAATAAATGATGAGCATCCAGTGATTCAAGTTTCATGATTAAAATAGAATGACACCTGACACAGTTAACAGCCTCATTCAGTAGTTGTATTTGATGCAGTAAACTTCAGTCAAATACCCCTGAACTTCAGATTCAACAAACAGGCATGTATGGATCAGCTATAAAACAAACTAATACCACTTACAGATCTTCTAGTTTCGTCTGCTCCTACACACGCCTCGGTGATCTCCTTGTAGTAAAGTTGTTGCTCCTAAAACATGAATATTATATCACTTCAGTTAGCTTTCAGTTATCAAAATAAACAGCATAATAATGCAAGTCATCCTAATTTCAATCTTCTATATCTCTAAAGAAAGTTCACTCTCATGTTTCATTAAGAAAAGTCAATGTATTCCATGCTATTGCAAATATTTTGTTATTTATTTTTGAGTAAATATGGAATGTTACCACAGAGAACTCATACAGTGTCCAAACCTTTCCTTTTAACACATAAGTATTCACCTCTTGATTACATTTAAACAAACAGTGCAAAATTGAGAAACATTTAAATACAATTTTACAAGCAGACTTATATACACATACAAAAAAATTAATAAAATGAATAAATAAATAAAAAAAACATGGTGTCTCACCACAGACAGTTCATGTGTTGCGTGTTGTTTCATCTTCACCAGATCTTTGGCTTTATGTTTGGCCCGCGCTATTTCCGCCAGAGGTTTTGGTTTCTGAAGTTTATCATTGGACGCCTTAATACTGGGGTCGATACTCTCCAGCTTCTGGAGGTCTTTAGAAACAGGAGGAGGGTTCTCTGGAATGGCCGGCTGTTCACCCTCTATACAAAGCCAATGAGCTGAAAATAAATAAATAAATAAATACACAGATAAATAAAATAAAAAATAATAATCAATACAGTAGACGTGTGTACGAGTTATGAGACTCCTGGAAATAAAGTATCAAATCTTTGCTTCATTCATATAAAATCAATGGTCCCTGATTGAACTGAAGTTGTTTTTTTTTTACAATATGTACTATGTTACACTGTGTTTTTAACATGTGCATATTTCAGACTTTCTCAACAGTCTCAGGTATATATTCAACTCAAGCCAAAAAATAAAATTATGTGGTTCATCCCACGCACACTTTTTTTTTTTTTTTGCTTGTGCAGCATTTTTAACTCTTCTAAACTTTTCCAGACTAATTCAGTATATAGTTCTTGGTAAACTAGATTATTTCTGTTCACCTTTTAAAGAGACTTCAAGAGGGATCTTGGGCAGAGCACCATTAATGAGGTCCTGGAGATCCAACTCCTTCTCCTCCTGGAAGAACACCTCTCTGCCGCCACCGCTGGCGTGACGAAAGGGCACAAAGTCTGGCGCATTAAACCCATACAATGGCTAGAAATACAACATCACAATAACTGATTAATATTGAAACACTTTATTTTATATGCTGCAGTAACTAAATGTATGTATCACTGTGTGAAGAATTTCATGGTGATGTATCAGCATTTCCCAGATCCTCTAATAAAGGATTATAAACAATGAAGCAACATCTATTTAATATATATAAAACTGACATTCATTCCAAACCCACCTCTACATTCTGAATTTTGAAGGCATTGTCAATGTCAGCGGGTGACAGCTTTCTTCTTTTACCATGCTGCATTAATTTGACAGCTTCCTGAAAGATGGAATATATGTCTACATCAGAAAGACAGCCAACCTCTCTCAAACCCCACCAAATGCCAGTGAAACTAAAACTGATGTAAAATTGTGTAAAAGTTTGGTTACTTTTACTTTTAAATTTTAATATATCCTCTTGTTCTGCTTTTGGAAGAGCAAACTTATTTACATATATTTGACATACATTTCATTAGCTAAGTAAACATCAATACTGTTATTATTTTCAACATCATTATCATCACAACCTGTATAGTCATCTTGAGTCGGTAAGTAACATCCTCTGCCAGATGTAAAGAAGCCTCATCCTGCAGTCCTGAAACTCCAACAGATTCTGCAATGGCTTTCATCGACTCATGGGACAAGATACTGTGTTTCTTGGCACTCCGAACCTTTGCAGGGTCTGCCATGCTGTCTGTCTTCAGTTCCCAACCTTGTTTTCTAATTCATGATATTTTTTATCAATTTGGTGTCGCGTAACGTCTCTTCATGCGATGTCTGAAATTTAAGCATTTTATTTTATTCGAAAAAACTGATTTAACTTTTAAAGATAAACATCCAACTTTCACAAAGTAACTATTAGAAAAGTTCAGCAATCTAAAATGTGCTAAGAAACACTTATTTTAACGTTTTAAATCTTAATGTTACGGACAAATCGTTCATCAAATGAAAAGTACGTTTTTACTCATTAATTGTAAAATGTAATTTGTTCATTAATCCCGGACTTTTGAGTCAATTTGCAATAAATAAAAAGTTTGAAATGCAACCAAAACTTGCTGACAAGGAGAAGCATATTACCTTATTTCTCATGCACAGAGTGATTCTGTATTTCCTCGCGAAATTATGTATATGCTCAAAACATTTCACCCCCAAAACTGATTAAACCCGCCGTATTCATTCAGTGTCCACCATAGCTATCCCAGACACCCTCAAATGACGCGAGATTTCTTGTGTTGCTCAGAGGGACGAGATCGTGACGTCATGTAAACAACATGGAGGACCGCGTGTGATTGTATATAATTGTAGCAATACAAACACCGTTACAATTTGAAGAACAAACAAAGAACATCTCAAATTGAAAGCAATATTTATTCAACTCAGGTGCGTATTTATTTTCACTTTTATTTACACGAATTGTTACCTGATCTTAACTTAGGCAAATAAAAAATAAAGATGATGCAGGTACTGTACAACAGTACGTAAGTATTTTCTAACTACTGGTACAAACAGGTGCCCGGTCTGATGTTCATAATATGGCTGATGTAAAGTAGTATTATGGACGGTAATTTTACAAGCGAAAGTATCAGACGGAATATTACAGACTTGAGAAGTCTACTTGCTTTTGTAAGACAAATGGAGACTACATGTATATTCACCTTGGGCATTGTGCTTGCTTTTATTGNAAACATCAATACTGTTATTATTTTCACCATCATTATCATCACAACCTGTATAGTCATCTTGAGTCGGTAAGTAACATCCTCTGCCAGATGTAAAGAAGCCTCATCCTGCAGTCCTGAAACTCCAACAGATTCTGCAATGGCTTTCATCGACTCATGGGACAAGATACTGTGTTTCTTGGCACTCCGAACCTTTGCAGGGTCTGCCATGCTGTCTGTCTTTAGTTCCCAACCTTGTTTTCTAATTCATGATATTTTTTATCAATTTGGTGTCGCGTAACGCCTCTTCATGCGATGTCTGAAATTTAAGCATTTTATTTTATTCGAAAAAACTGATTTAACTTTTAAAGATAAACATCCAACTTTCACAAAGAAACTATTAGAAAAGTTCAGCAATCTAAAATGTGCTAAGAAACACTTATTTCAACGTTTTAATTCTTAATGTTACGGACAAATCGTTCATCAAATGAAAAGTACGTTTTTACTCATTAATTGTAAAATGTAATTTGTTCATTGATCACAGACTTTTGCGTCAATTTGCAATAAATAAAAAGTTTGAAATGCAACCAAAACTTGCTGACAAGGAGAAGCATATTACCTTATTTCTCATGCACAGAGTGATTCTGTATTTCCTCGCGAAATTAATGTATATGCTCAAAACATTTCACCTCCAAAACTGATTAAACCCATTGTATTCATTCAGTGTCCACCATAGCTATCCCAGACACCCTCAAATGACGCGAGATTTCTTGTGTTGCTCAGAGGGACGAGATCGTGACGTCATGTAAACAACATGGAGGACCGTGTGTGATTGTATATAATTGTAGCAATACAAACACCGATACAATTTGAAGAACAAACAAAGAACATCTCAAACTGAAAGCAATATTTATTCAACTCAGGTGCGTACTTATTTTCACTTTTATTTACACGAATTGTTACCTGATCTTAACTTAGGCAAATAAAAAATACAGATGATACAGGTACAGCAGTACGTAAGTTGTCTAACTACCGGTACAGACAGGTGCCCGGTCTGATGTTCATAATATGGCTGATGTAAAGTAGTATTATGGACGGTAATTTTACAAGCAAAAGTATCAGACGGAATATTACAGACTTGAGAAGCGTACTTACTTTTGTAAGACAAATGGAGACTATATATTCACCTTGGGCATTTTTGTCGTACATGTACATGTGCATGTGCGTCCCACCAACATACATGTGTATATATGTAGAACTACACTGTGTACCACCAGGGTACAGCTACTTTTCCAAAATCTGGATAAAGTTCCTCTTAGATATACCGAGTATATATTCTACTGATGAGTACCACATAAAATTATAATTTGTCATAATTAATTTTGAAAGGGAGTGAACAATTTATACACTATGATTTGGTTCGTTCCTTCACACATACTCAATTTTTTTAAATTCTGCTGTTCTGCTTTTAATCTTTCAGTGCAGTTTTAAAAAATACCATACATGAAATATGTTTCAATAAATATAAATTCCTCACATATTTTACAGGAATGGTTCTCCACAGTAATATCAATGTAAACCAGAGAGTGGAGGTGAAGAGAAATGGCAGTATCTACACTGGCATGGTGAGGTACAAGGGTCCTCTGGTTACCCAGGCAGGAGACTGGGTGGGAGTAGCCCTGGATGAGCCTGGTAAGAATATAGCTTGATATTCCCATGTTTACAGTGTAAGACCGCATTCACAACGAGTTGAGCCATGGCTCTACAAATCAAGGAACGAAATATGGCGGACGTACATGAAAGAAAAAACGCCTAATCTTTTAATACTCTCTCCGCCTCTCACACACCTCCCCACACGTCGTCCCTGCGGGGGTACAGTCATTAAATCTCGGCTCCATTGGGACGACACTGTAATTCAGTTTCATTTCATTGTATGTATACTATAGTAGTACCTGTGAAGTACAACATTTTTTATCAGTAGATTCTGGTGCATAAGTTGTAATTGAATATTGTCATATTGTAATACATGTAAGTCCTTGTTATGATTTCAGCATGATCTCTTTTTCTGTATTATTTTGTCACTTGGGTTAATTCAGATTTGATTTTCATTTTCAGTTGGGACCCACGACGGGTTGTTCAAGGGAAGAAGGTATTTCTCCTGCAAAGACGGACATGGTATTTTTACTAGAGCTCAACAGATAAGGTTTATCCCCTTGACAAGATGGTAATAATAATAATAATAATAATAATAATAATAATAATAATAATAGTAACAATAAATAAGGTAAAATCAACAATATACATGTATATTAATATTTAAGAGAGAGATTAGTATAAATTAAAAAGATTAGGAATATACATGATCAAGGGAAAAATGATATAAACACAGATTCTAATTGGTAAATTGCATTGTAATTACTTTGTTTTTATTCACAAAATTAATTTCTGTACAATTGGGTGTGGAGTACATTCATTAAAGATATTTGATTTATAAAAGGAAACATATACACTGGCCAATTATATTGCCTGTGAACTATGGCAAATATTGGCAGATCAGTTTGTTTATTTTGTTCACCTTTTTGTTGTCTTGTAAACTAATTGGATACTCAGGGCAGTCTTGATATATTGATGTTGTTCCAGTTCATTAACACTATTGAAAACATCCAGAGAAGTCTGCTCCTCTGTAATTATATCTTTTGATTTGCTTCTTTTGATTTACTTCCACTTAATCAATACCAGCCATTCTTGGCTAATTATGACTATACACAATCAATATCCCTGTCAAAGATTTTGATTTGAATTGTCAAATAAAATCTGCATTTCTCCTGTTAACCCCTATATTCCAAAAACCTTTTTTTCTAGTTTTGGTTTCCATGCTTTGAAAATCAGTGGCAGATCCAAATTTTTGTAAGGGGAGAAGTCACAAGGATGCAATATTTGACTTGTTTTGGACAAGTAGACTATGAGATGTAGTGCACAGGCATAGGAAAATGACTTGCCTTTCCCCTATTGTGATCGATCATTATTCTATTGTTGGGAGAGGTCAAAGGGAGGGGGGGGGGGACTTAATGAGGGGCACCTGCAGCTAGCCCCTACACACGTACACACACACACAATTTTACCTGCAGAAAAATTTAACATATAGATATAGACAATTAATTTGTAAATTTAGAACTTCATCCCATTCTTTAAGAATAGAGAAGGGTAGATATAGTAATATCCCTCGTAACCAAAGAATTTGTCAGTATTGCTCAAATGATAATGTTGTGGAAGATGAGTATC